AACAACAGCAGCTGCCCACACAAACCTTTGACAAGGAAATGTTCTGTGGATGGATCTGTGGGGGTGGAAAGCAGAGCTGTTTCCTGTGGACAGTTTCTGAGCATTGTTCGAGCTTTATTCCATATAATTAATGAGGTACTAAAAGGTGTTCATTTCCAGTTGTGCAATTTATGAACATTGACTTTCTAAATATAGTCATTGAATAGACATAGACATAAAACCTAGCTCTATCAACACGGTAGAGGTATTGGGTTTTCTCTTAAGGGACTTGTATTTAAATAAGAAATTATCTCCTTCACTGTCAAATAGTGAATACTGTCTTCACATGTACCATTTTATTGCAAAAGGAAATACGATACTTCCCATGAGGTACAGTATTTTCTTTTTTTTCTGAAAGCAGTTGTTCCATTTCATGTTGTTATTGTTGTTGTTGTTGTTAAGGAGGAGGAGGAGGAGGAGGAGGAAGAGGAGGAGGAGGAGGAGGAGAGAAACTGCACTAAAAAGCCTTTAGAAAAGCAACTTTCTGCCATCTACAGATCATTGCTGAAATCAGAGGTGGGTTCCTACCAGTTCGCACCTATTCGGTAGAACCGGTTCATCAAATCTACCGAACCAGTTAGAAGAGGTTCCACCAGTGGACCCGGAAAGCAGGCCACACCTACAGAAGAGGTTCCAAACATTTTTGAAACCCACCACTGGTCCTTGGATATGATTATTCTACACTATCATGCTCATATTTATAAAACTCAGTGCCTCTGTGAAAGGTAAGGATGACTTCTGCGTTTGTGGTGCAATCAGAACATTGCGTGTGTTGAAGTTGTTTTAACGCAAACCAAAGATGCCTTTTAAAAAACAAGTTTACATCCTATTCTTATGCATGCCAGTGCTGTGTGTGAGGTAAGTTAAGGTGGTTCTGACAAGTGCCGTCGGCATCTTCATATCCGGTCACATGGGCGGCAAGCCGCTCCCACAAAGGAGGCCACACCCACAGAGTAGGTTCGAACAATTTTTGAAACCCATCACTGGCTGAAATGCAGTAAAGATAAGCCAGAGCTAATTTACCTCCACACACTTACTGATTTAAGGATAGGGCAAAGCTATTATCTAGGACACAAAAGGGTCAGGCTGTAAGATTTGGTAAAAAAATATTCAACTGACCAAATGATAAGAAGACAACATGCCATCTGGAAGAGGAGAGGTTCTGGGTAAGGCAAAATCGGCAGTCCAAATGGTGGCAGAGGTTAGAAGAGGGTTTAGAGGACAGATGTATATATATATGCCATTTGTTTGAGGTTTGGGCATAGTTTTAGAGAACTGAGTAAACATTTTATTCCATGCACCCTTACAAGAGGCTGGGTAAGAGGCTTGAACGCTCTCATTAATTTAAAAATTAATTTAATTTTTAAATTTAGAGGTTTTTTAAATTTAGTTTTAGCAACAATAATGCTGGGCTCTTTGAAAACAGAGGATTCTTTCTCAGGACTATCAGGGAAGTCCTTTTGATCATACAATACAGTAGGTGTGGCCTGCTTTCCGGGTCCACTGGTGGAACCTCTTCTAACCGGTTCGATAGATTTGACGAACCGCTTCTACCGAACTGATGCGAACCGGTAGGAACCCACCTCTGATACAATAGAAAAAATGTAAAGAAGGGTGGTAATAGTTTACACAATTTGGGCTTCCTTCTAAAAGCAAGGTAACCAAGTCTGTCTTTTTCTTTTCAGTACCCACAAAGGTGGGATACTGGATGCCTCAGTGAATATGCCCTGCATAAGAGGAAGGAAAACTCACAAGATGTGAAGTATGTGCTTTTATGGCCTCTTCCTCTTGGCTATGATAACGTTCTTTCCCTCATACTTCAATCAGGAAGGGTGTTGGAGGTGAATTGTGCTGGGCCATAGCCTACCTGTACTGGACAATCTGGCCTAGGACCCGGATATCTACGAGACCGTCTTCTGCCGCATACCTCCCTAAGACCGGTAAGATCACACAGGATGGGCCTTCTCCGGGTACCATCAGCTGGACAATGCCGGCTGGCGACGCCTCTGAATAGGGCCTTCTCTGTTGCCGCTCCAACCCTATGGAACGAGCTACCCCCAGAGATCAAGACCCTACCCACTCTCACGGCCTTCCATTAAGCTATCAAAACCTGGCTTTTCCGGCAGGCCTGGGGCTGTTGACCTCTTGAGAGAGGTCCAGCCCCACTTAGACTGGGTGCATGTTGTGTTTCTTTTAACTTGTTGTGTCCTATCTGTTTTAACCCTTTTTAATATTTCTTATTTCCTCTGGAATTGGGCGGCCTATAAATTCAATAAATGGAAATGGAAATGAAAATGTAGATAGCAGCCTTCAGAAAATTGCTTGGTAAGGCTTTCTAGGGAGAGTTGACATGCCAAACATCTGTCAAGCAACTCCCTACCTTCCTCTTTTACACACACACACACACACACACACATCTGCCTGAATAATCTGAAGAGCTGCTTTGAAATACGGCCTGAATCACAAAGCTCTCAGTGCTTCGTGCCTCTGAATCTTTTTGTCGTTTCTTCCTCTTAAAGCAGATTTCTCCCTTGAATCCTTTGTTCCAGCCACACTATATTTCATATCTGGGTGTATTTGATGCTTTCCATATTTCATTTTCTCAGCTCACATATGCGTGCACATGGACACACGCACACGCTCACACCCTGTACCCAAACATCAAATAGCAGAATGCCTTGATTGATATCTCTGTCAAACTCCTGGCTGTTCCGTATTCCAAAATAGAAAGAAAAACGCCAGGTGTTCAGTCTCTCTTGCAATCAAAGCCAAAAGAGGCATCAATGAGCAATACCCAGCCATTTCCTAGAGCAGGGGCATTTCCATCGCTGACTTGCTGGGACAGTTGGAGTTGAACAGATTGCTGAACCTGACTGTGTCATCCATAGCTTTCTCACTAGGGTGCCCTTGAATGTCTACAGGGAACTTTTAGTTCAGGAGAAGAAGGAAAGTGGTGTCCAATAAGGAGTATAAAGAATCAGTTGTTGAATTAGCAATAGCANTATTTATTTATTTATTTATTTATTTATTTATTTATTTATTTATTTATTTATTTATTTATTTATTTATTTATTTATTTATTTATTTATTTAATACATCACACATCTCCCTTATAAGGTGACTTACATTGGCAACCCTCCAAATATCTAGTTCCATACTTCATTTTTTACATTTTTTTTAGTAACTTTAATTTTTAAAAAATGGGATTCTGGACTAATAATAAAGTAAAGAACTTCAGCCCAGTTTTCTTTACTGATGAATCGCATCAATTTTATCTTAGACAATAAGAAAGAATAGCAACTGTGGCTCTACGCTCTAAGTATTCCAAGGTGTCACAAAAGGCCTTTAGGGACATTATAAGAAAGAGTATTAGGATGATTGATCTTCTAATACATTAGTGTTTTCTGATTGGTTATTTATTTGTATTATTTTATTTATTCGATCTATATGGCTGCCCGTTTCACCAAAGGTGACTCAGGATAGTGTATAACCATACAATATGATAACGTCTGTACAACAAATACAATATAATCATATAAAGTTTGGTTAAAGTTTAAAGTTTAAAATTAGTACTATTAAAAGTAAGAGTGAGATATGCCCCTGATGACAACCATTTTGTGAGTAGAAAAGTACCCAAGGAGCCATTTTGTGAGAACACCCACAGCACGGTCTCAGAATTCAAAATCTGCTTTCCATTAGTAGAAACCCATTGTAAAAATGTGTATTAGTCATTATTCTTTTTGTTTGCATAATTATCTATCTTTTCTTTTTGGTTCCATATTATTAATATCAATATAGTTTCAATAATCGTAACTTAATTTTTTTTTTCTAGTTGGAGATGACAAGTTACTAGAGTACATTGCTTCTACTTCATTTATTCATGTATGATAAGTGCCTATTGGGACATTCACCTTTATTTATTTCTCCCAGTGACATCTTTACAGTCAATGTTTATATTATCCATCACAATGTTTATTGTTTTCTGATGATCCCTCCCCACCCCACACACATATCTAGACATAATACACAAATACTTTGAAGTCTCAGTAAATGAAACAGACTGTTCTGTGACTTTGCCCCTTGAAATGTTTCTTTATTTCCCTTGAGCAAAACCTAATCTAGCTAAGATAGTTAGATCAGTTTTCCCATTGAATTCTTTCACTTCTCCTTTCTATTTTATAGATCTTCTAATTATGTTTCCTAATTCTCGATCCTCCTGTTTCTATCTTCCCACTATTTATGCTTTCTTATCATGGTGGTCCTTCTTTCACCTCTAGCTTGAGATTCATCTTACTATGCATAGAAAATGTGGGTTGATTTAAGGACTCTTGAGTACACTTAACTCAACTTTCTTTCCTTGTCAGTATGAATTTGAACCTTAATGCTATTTTTGATGTATTTGTACTAGTTCGTTGCTTGTGTTTATTTTTGGAATAAATATTTCTCTGGGCATCCTTCCTTCAAGGAAAGTTACTGACTTTACAGTGAAATTCCAAAATGCACCAAAAATCCAGAATAGCATTCAGTATGCTATTTTCCCACTGATATATCTTAAGGGACAACAGAAATTTCAATCTGATTTTATTCTTACAGCATGTATGAATAACACCGATCAACATTAATGAACAGAGATGGATCTATTCACTCACTAGCAAAACTGTCAAAATGCGCTACCCTAAAGGAAATGCATCCATGTGTAAACTTTTAGATTCCAGTACAGTCTTCAAAACACATTCCTAGATGGCTTTTCTTTGCCTGCCACATGCCCCTAACACATTTTCAAAATATTATTAGCAATAAATTTCATAGATTTGGGGGAATAGAATCATGCAGAGGAAAAGCAAGGAAGAGCTACATTTTAAAATAATTAGACAGAGATAGACGATAGTTTTGTCTAACAGGAATCCTTAGTAGGGTTCTTGTTAGTAATCTTGTTAGTAAAAGATGAAGGCATCTCCTTACCTGGGATGGATGTCCACAAGAAGCACAAGGGTCTGCATAGTAATCACGTCAATCCTTTTACAGTGAAAGCGTGCCACCTTCAGCACTTTCAGATATGTGAAGCACAAGACTATGAGAGAGAGCAGAAAGCTAAAGGAATGAAAGATCCCTGTGAAAATCATAAACTGGGTCCTCTCCTCCAGTTTCTTGTTGTACAGGGTGCAAGAGGCATAAAGGTGGTGGAACCCTACCCAAGAAAGAGAAGTTGCCACAATGGGGAAAGATACTGAGTGTAACCACGTGTAGCTGAGGATGAGGGCAGCATCTTTGTAACGCATCTTGGAATGGTAGTTTAGAGGAAATACCACTGCTATCCACCGGTCAATGCTGAGAGCTGCCATGCTCAGCATGGAGTTGGTAGTCAAGAAAGTCTCTAAAAACCCCACTATGTGGCAAAGCTGTTCTCCTCCAGGTGGTTTCTTGTAAATGATCCCAGCCAGAGTGAGAGGCATGTTCAAAGCAGTCATCAACAAGTTGCAGAAGGTCAGGTTGAGGATAAACAATCCGGGGACTTGCTTGCGGATATCAGCGCTATACAGAAAGCAGATCAGCACCAACACATTGGACAGCAACGATACAAGGATGAGCACCACAATCAAGAAAGCCAGGATCACTTCCCAAATGTTCATGGTGCCTCCATTCACAGGAGGAACATTTCCAAAACTGCACCCAGCTGGCATCCAGAAAACATGGTGTGAGGCACTCTCACACCCTCCTCCTCCTCCCCAGCTTGCTCGCACTCCTGCATGCCCTCCGTATTTTTAGAAGAGCTGCAGTCCCTCCACCCCCCTGCTGCTTCTTCTTTCCACGTCAATGCTTTTTAGAGAGAGGCACAAAAAGCAATGGGAATGCCCATTAAACTACAAAGGGGGTGATTTAAAAAACAACAACGAACCATGTGGATCATCCAGAATCAAGGCACAACTCTTCTAAAGAAAGCAGAATACTCTGAACGGCAGGTCTTCTGAGATCTCTCATTATTGGTCCTAATGCTTCTCAGCAGCTCAGCCAGTCTATTTATTTTCATTTACTCCCTGCTTCCGTCTCTCTCTCTCTCTCTCTCTCTCTCTCTCTCTCTCTCTCTCTCTCTCTCTCTCNAGGAGTCATCCTTACCTTTCACAGAGGCACTGAGGTTTATAAATATGAGCATGATAGTGCAGAATAATCATATCCAACAATCCTCAGAAGGCCATCAGCTAAAGCCTTTTGTACAATGCTTAAGTTAAATGGATATTCTAAGCAAGATGCTAGCTAGCTCTCAAATTATTTCAGCAATCTTCCTATGCTCTTGCTTGTCAATTACAAAATGTGAAACTAAATTAGTTTCCTGCAATGTTGAAGAAAGCATTAGTTAGTAATGACTGGACTCTAGAATCAGAAAAAAACTTCTTCAACAAAAATGTTAAGCAAAATCTTATGCAATCTTCTGATGTTGCTATTCATGAATGACACATTTATGATAGAATGAGAGAAAATATATTTCTTATCTTATTAGGAAAAATAATAAAGCATCACAGTGTTTATTTTTCATAGTATGTCCTTTTTAAAAATTTATTGGCAATATACCTACCAAGTTTGTAAAGAATATAAAAAGTGCTTACTGAAGGGTAATTGGGTAATTTATATCAGATGTTCTTTTTATGTATTCTGTTAAGCTTTCCTTTCCAAAGTGACATCCAGATGTAAGTGTTCTTTCTAGTTTTGTGCAGAGATCAAATTTTTGACAAATGCCTTTATCTCCCTGGTAGTCTAAATAATCTTATTTTTTCCTTCCAGGGTGAAATTTTCCACCAAAATCTATGCGCAACCATTAAGAAGCAGAGAACCTCAAGACGTAAGTAAAATATATTATTATTTTTGTATGCATTATGATTGTATTTAGAATATGAATGTTTTAACTCAGGTTTTTTTTTCAAACTAGTGCACTCTACATGTGTGGGTTGACACATTTCACAATGATTAGTCAGAATGTGATTATGGCAATGATACTTTTTACATATCCAGAGGATGCCAAGTTAAGGAAGCCTATTTTAATCATTCTCTTTCTTCCATCCCTGTTACATCCTTGTCTTAAAAAGTCAAACCCTTCTACTAATTTCAGTGAAGTAGAAGCATAAGGGAAAAGTTAATTATCCCACAGAATAAGGATTTAATGAAATTCAAATTCAAATTTAATGAATTTATATGCCGCCNAATGAAGGAACGAACGAACAAACAAACAAACAAACAAACAAATAAATAAATAGCTCTTTCCACTCTTGTTTCCTGGATTTTATGAATTCATAAATAATAAAAGAGATACAAAGTTTAAAGAGTTCGAAGTTTAAAGAGAGCTAAAAATATTGTTCCAAAATAAATACACACAAAGAGTGTTGGTATTTGCCCCCATATCACAAAAGCAGCTTGCTTGGAAGAACAATTGATGCTGTCCTTTGTGGCAGGTGATAGAGTCTAAGGTGGTTGAGCATACAAGACAAATAAATAAATTGTTGCATGGTAGCTAGTTTTCTTATAAGTGTAGACTATTCAAAGAATTGTCTCCAAGCTTCTCTGGAAGAACTAAAACTTGGAAGAGTAGAGAATGATCAACAGCCTGTCCAAGAAAAAAACAGGCAAAAGGAATGTATGTTCACCTATAATGAAAGTGTGTTGGAAATAAAAGAAAATCCACTTCCACAAATGCTGAGGAATTTTTAACAATGTACAGCATGGTACAGCTCTTTGAAGATCACCAGTCATAATAAGAACCTGATTGGTAAGAGGAGATCAAAAACTTCCAAAGATAGGATCTTCCCATTGTGTAGCACACCTAAAAAAAAAAAAAATCTGCAGCAGTTTTGCTTTTCATCTCTTTCAAATAGTGTCAAAAATCAAAAGAAATGTAGGAAACCTTGAAAGAGGCAAATGCACATTTTAAAAAATTCAACCCAAAGGCAAATTCTGATTGAATCCTTATTAAAAGAAGCTGCCTAACAGTGTGATCAGTTTAAGAGCAGAACAAATAAAACAGAGAAATGGTACATTTCCCTTTGCTGGATCTGATCACGACAGTCAACTGTTGGGTATGCAATTAATCTAAATTTTGTGCTGTGGGTTGAAATCTGTACCCTAAATGGCCCCTTTCAGCTGCATGAGTCTAATCGTTACATAGCTGCATTGCGATAAGTGTGTGTGTGTGTGTGTGTGTGTGTGTGTGTGTGTGTNCCAAAGTCCTTATCTATTTGTTTATTTGGCTTTCAGCCACCGAGATTCTGGTCTTGTTATTAAAGGACATTCCATTTTATGCTTGTCTCGGCTTTCGTTACTGGACGAAGGAGGGAGTCAGAACAGACAATCCATGGCACATTTATTGAGTTTAGGTTCTAACTATAATCTTTAAAGTCAAGCATAGATTAATTTGACCTCTAGTGCTGACTGGAAGCTTTGTCTACCTCCCCACCTTCCATTTACTGAGCATTTTCCATACAGATTAACATTGAAAAAGATGCCTATGGATTTTTTTTGCTCATTTGTGGCTGCACAACAAATCTCCCCTCCATGACATATTCCTTCAGTCTATTATTTACGATGCCTTCTTGTCACACACGAGTTTTTATTTTATTTACTTTTTCCAAATCTATCAGTAGTTGTACAATGGATTTCCTTTCTGTACATCAGAAGATTCATGTTTCCTCTTCTCCAAGGTGGTACAACCGAGCAGATCAGATTCTTCACCTGTCCCTTTCCAACTCCTTTTTTCCATGCATTTTTTGCTGTTCTTTTGATACTTAACCAAAAACACTGAATGCACATGTAAAAACTTGTTCACTTGAGCACTGAATTCTAAACCAAAGCTGTTTTGGAGAATAAAGTTTTCACAACAACTTCACAACAGTAGGAAAGCACTTCTATTTAGAAGTATTTCTGTCCACAGGCCTGTGTACTCTGATCATGCCTGTATCCCTATCTGTTTCAGAGAGAGAGAGAGAATATTAATGTAAGATGCTGTGATATGAAACACAAAAACATACACTTGCCAGTGGGATTATAAATGCACAAACCTACCCACTATTCTTCAAGGGAACCAAGGGCCCCATCTGCTGATGTTTAAATGTACTACATTAACACAGTGCAACGTTAGCAAACCCTGATAAGAAACATATTAAAACTGAACGCAGGAAAACAAATCATAGACCAGTTAATGCAAAACCATGGAGGGAAACTGCAGAAGAGATACTTCTACCACCATTCACTGTCATTACTCTTACCCGGTGCCCAAAAAAAACCTTTTTCACCAGCTTTAAAACTAACCTGATAACAAGAAAAACAAGACACAGAATGCAATCCATTCAACACACGTACTGAATGAAAACTATAGAAATGCCCTTGGTTTGTTCAGATGAGACTTTTCGAGAAACAAGTTATGTAGTAGGGTTTTCTCACACAGGCTGAAAGTACTTCTAAATTTACCGGGGTTACCTATTCCACTTTCACAATAGAAATGTATCTGTTGAAGGAATCAGTGGTTGGCTATATATGCTTAATGCACTTCCTCAGAGTTGATGTTGATGTTGATGTTGATTTTATTTATATGCTGTCCTTTTCCCCCGAAGGGGACTCAGGGCAGCTCACAACTCAACCGGGAAAGGGGGATACAAACAAGAATTTAAAACTACATAAACAACAATACATAATTAAAACACAACAGTCATACCAATTCGAGACGGGGGCAACAGTTCTTTAGCCCCAGGCCTGTC